TTCACATGTATACACATGACGGAGCTTTGGAGAGATTATGTTACGGGTCTTGATCACGGGCATGTCTGTAGTGGACCAAAATTTCCTTGTCGACAAAAGGGCTAGCTTTCGAAATGTAATGAGGAGATCGAATAGTAACCTAGCGGTTTCAAGCTCTTCTTTGTCATGATCTATATGTATTCGTGATGATTGATATGATGTGTTATTGCTGCAGCAATTTCATCATCCACTCGTAGACAGCCCATTGTACGGCGTTCACCACGAATGCCCGTATGCTACATATGCCCAAGCCACGGAAGAAGACGCCCGCACCTTCTGTCTTGTACGCATGCCTAGCAACCTCGATCGCGCTCAACCGTGCTCTAGGCGTCTCTGACCCTAGCAGCGCACTTCCCTCCCCATCCCGCATCGGCGCATGTAGTATCTGCGTCTGCACCCTCGTCTTGATAACATCCAGCGGAAATATCGACGCCCATGTTATGACACCAGCAAGACCACCACATAACAGTACTTTCATGGCTGTTTCGCGATCGGAGTCGTCTGGGGAAGACCAGGCCTGTTTCGAAAGTTCGTAGGACCAGAAGCTGCGTGTGCGGTCAGCCAACGTCCTCGATCATCGTGCTTCTCCATCCAGGAGAACGGACAGGCAAGCAACTCACTAAAACCCATACCCCACCGCATCCCTCACACTGGTAATCCCACCTCCATAGTACAAACCCCTGATCCCCTCTGCCTTCCAAACATCTCTCGCTACACTCCAACTAGTTGTCGTCGCGTTGGTTGCTACCTGCGCGCGGCACTTTACGAGTTCGGTAGGTGCGCTCACGATGAAGGATGCGAGGCCGCCTGTTGCACCTGCCAGGAAGACTTTCGAGTAGTTTGTAGGCGATGCAGGAGAATCGTGGAGGAGGGTGAGGGTGCGGTTGTAGGTCATGAATAAGAGGGCGTTCAACGCGCCGTAGGTTAGGATGGGTGCTGTTGCGCCTATACTGGAGGAGTTGAGTCAGTCAGTTGATCCTAGCATTTTGTCTTGTCTGCTGTGTAGTGTGATGCGAAGGACTCACCTCTTACGAGTGTCCCCGCATTCTCAAATTGCCCTTTGAAACCGCGTGGTGCTGTTACCGCGCCTGTGGTAGCTGGAGATGTAGCTTCGACATTGTGCGTTGAGGAGGGACCGGCTTGGAGACGCGTTTTTATCAGGTCGAGTGGATTGCCGATTATTATTCCTGCTGCGCCGGATACGTAGCCTGCCCAGAAATCTGCGGACATGGCTTTTTGGGAGGGGAGGGAGGGTTGGAGAGGGGGAGGTGAAGGGAGGGGTACTTGGGGAAGGGTTGCTGGAGATACATGTTGCGGGTTGTGGGGCAAGGGACGCGAGGGTTGTGCCGAGGCTTAAGAGAGGTTGTCTACGTTGAGCTGGGAGGTCATGATTGCGTATTTTTGAAGATGGGTGTTTCGGTCAGTATCAGGAAATGTCCATGTTACAATTACTATCGTCTCGGTACCTATGCTCATTGTGTTGTTCGATGGCGTAGGCGTCAGGTCTTAAGGCAAGATCATAGGCTAAGTAAATCGAGACTTTGTCCAAAGTGCATGTAAACATGTAGCTAGAAGCTAGACTAGAAGCACCCTGCAGCGAAGCATGCCAGACCATGTTCACTTGTGCGACGATCCAGCTCGTCTCGTTCGGGACGCTTGACGCTGTCGGACCACCGACAGGATCTCGAACAAGCAATGCGTATGAAGTATCGGGCTGCGATGTTGCAATTTTCAGAGAATCTAGCTCGACGTAAAGACTGACTTGAAGCCCAGTCGAGGTTGGCGCAGAGAAGATCCAATGGCATGCATCTCGTGTGTGTCATTCGCCACCGCGTTGGCCTCGCGACCCGACTCGAATGAATCATGGAGCACTGACCATATGAGGCTGAGACACGCCTGACTACCTGCCGATCTCCCTCACCCCGCCGCCACCCAGACTCACTCACTTACGTTTACCTCTCGCGCAAGACTCATTCTTTGTCACTGCTCATTTCTTTCCTTTCACTCGTGTCTGTGGATTCCGACTCGGTCTGAAGACGCTCTTTCCATTGAACCTGTCGCGATAGACCATGAGCGTGCGACTAAGACGATTGTTTCGAGATCAGTTACACGGTATGTTTGACACTTATTGCGGTACAGGCGGCGCAGTATATATCCAGACTGTGAAGGCTGTTCAGGCTTCAATACGCGCGAGCTGTAGCCTCGGGACCGCTTACCATGGTTCATCGTTCACCTTACTGACGACTCCAGTGTCTTCTACGCATTAGCACCAATTCCTTACGACAAGCATACACCAAGTCAATACGCCGATTCGCAAGCCTACAACGATCAAATGCCTTCACAACCGCTCGACTCGGGCTGGGACTTCAGCACCGCCATCGGCCTGATAGATTCGGGCACCCAAGAGATTAGCTCCCCTCCGCTTCGGTCGGTGGCGACACCTCAGGCTTCTACACTGAAAGATGGAGGAATACGTCTAGGCAGCTTTTCGAAGCTGTTCGAAAATCTAGGGTTCGCCGATACCGCCTCCGCACCGTTGCCGCCACTCGATCCTGAGTCCGAACTCAGCAATTCCGATGACGCTTTATTACCTTCCCCTGTCCTCGATTCGACCAAGACACCTGCCAAACTTAACGAGAGCTCAGACGAGCAGGCGATAGACAACACAGGTCTGACTAAGACCCAACGGAAGAAGGCTCGCAGACGCGCCGAGAAGGAGCTCGAAGAAGAGCGGTGCCGTCAACAAGCTGTTCAGGACACCTTGGCCCAGCTTGCGGAAGAACGCGAGCAGAGGCAACAACAGGCTCAGCAGGTGTTACTGCGGAAACAACTAGATGATATCGCCAGCATTACTACCAGGGAGATGAAGGTGGCGGAAACGCCGACCAAGCCGTCCCGAGCACATTCACGATCCAACGTGGGCGCTAAGATCAGGCCTGCGACCCCTACTCCAGCGTCTGCACAAGACACAACCGAGGCTCCCCAGACACAACAGAAGCAGCCCAGGACACCCAAGACCCGCCCCAGCATCCTCAAGCGGCCTTCTGCGGCACAGCCTGTGACTCTTCAGCCTCCTCAAGAAGTCCCTGCAGTCGTTCCTTCGGCTGCACCGGCCCCTACTCAGACCCAAAATATAGCATTCGATGCACTCGTACCTGCCTCGTCTCAGGACCTTCTACTCGAACCTCAGCAAGCGCCTCGTGCTACCACACCGGTGCACCATGGACTTGTTCCCCGAACTGTTCGACCGGTTACCGTACCAAGAACCTGTTCTCAACCAGCCGTCGTTCAACAACCACCCACCACCCCAACGCCGCATCGTAAGTCGTTCAGCGGACAGCGACCAGCTCTCACGATTAGATCACAGGTAGAGCGTCATTATCACTTGTTTAACAAGTTGATGGAGACCTTCCCTGATGATCGAAAGTGGCTGGTGGCCCCTATGCAAATGCTTAACGAGCGCAACTCAGCGCATGGATTACACGTCTTTGTCGATGCCTCCAACATCATGATAGGCCTCAAAGACATGCTCCGCTACCACGGCCTGCACCACAACGCATACGACATGTCCTTTGACAGTCTAGCGCTACTGATGGAGCGCCGCCGACCGGTAGCAAAGCGCTTCTTCGCCGGCTCCCACCGCGAAGCCAACCCCCTCCCTCACGTAGCGAAACTTGTCGAGACATCCAAAGCCGTCGGCTACGACAGCGTCATGCAAGAGCAAGTCCTGATCGTACGCGAAGACTCTGAGAAGAAGAAATTCTTCAACGACGTCAAGAAGATGGGCTGGCACAAGGCTACTCAAATACGCTCTTCTGGCAGCGGCAGTGACTCTGAAACGGGTCCATCTGCTGTTACTCCGAAGACGCCCTCGGCCCCGAAATGGGTCGAGCAAGGTGTCGACGAGATTCTTCACTTGAAGATGTGTCAGAGCATTATTGATACCGAAGTACCTAGCACTATGGTTCTCGCGACGGGTGATGGTGCCGTGGCGGAGATGTCGGATGGGTTTCTCGCGCATGTAGAGCGCGCATTGAAAAAGGGGTGGAAAGTTGAGTTGATCAGTTGGGGTCAGCAGATTAATGGTGGATACAGGAGGAGGCAGTTTAGGGCTAAGTGGGCGGAGCAGTTTACGATTATCGAACTCGATGAGTTCTTGGAGGATCTTATTGATACGCCGTAGGATGGTGGGTTCACGTGGTTGGATGTACTGGTTCGGGATGCATTGTTTTGGTGTTAGTTCGCATACGGTATGAGGGATGAGCGAGCTTGGCGTTGTTCGTTGTCGTTCTCGGTGGTATTCTTCTGGTTGTACATAGCTTTGGCTTTATTCTGTGGTGGTTCTTCTATTGCATTGCATTTTTCTGCGCGAAGGGCATTCGGCGTTGGCATTATATAGCATGGCCCAGCGTATCTGATGGTACATAGAGTTCTTACCTCGTATGTAGAGGAAGAAACTTTACTTGCTCATCTTATCCATCCGATCCGAAGTTTTCATGCACAAGAACGTCTAGTTGCATCGCCAAGCGACATGAAGAAAGGCTCAGCCTGATGGCGCTGTTCAGCCACCGCCATACATGATTCTACATGGTATCGATCGCGATCACCGAGAGTGCGTCCATGTACGTTGGCGCTATGCACATGATGCTCTCCTGTGGCTCATGTGCTGGACAGGTGGGCTGTCACGTCGCTCAATCAAAACCTGTTTACTGTCCAGGGACCTCAGCCGTGTCTGCCTGGCGCCACCAAAGCCGAACGGCATGCCGCAGTTGCTGTATCGGAACCCGAAGGCTCAAGGCTGAAGGGCCAAGGCTGAAATCATAGTCCGGCCTTAGATGGCATAAAGCCTGCCGCGCTGTGTCTTATATTTCCTCACTCAGCTACTCTATCGATACTCACTTCTACAACTACATTTTTGGATACTAGGTATTAAGCTTGAAGCCGTAAAGGACACACCCGACATGCCTCGTGACCCAACCTACCACGATGTGGAGAAGATGAGACGCCACGCTCTCAAGCCGTACGATAGACACGCCAGCGACAATCAAGTGGCCTTAAGCAATGACGACGACAGTGATGTTGAGGCAGCTAGCGACGACGAAGGACCTGGCGGCGATGATGATGCCGGCAGTGCTGAGGTTTCCAGCGACGAGAGTTCTAGCGACGACGACGAAGATGTCACCAACAATGAATATGACAACGAGGGTGAAGAAGCCGATAGCGATCAAGATGCTGACCGCGAGGAAGAAGCCAGCGACGTGCAAGATGCCATCGACGACGACGACGACGACGACGACGAAGAAGTCGACTATGATGAAGAAGAAGACACGGAAAAGCCCACCAACATCTTCAACCCAAGTGGCTCCAGCGTAAACTGCACCGACATGGGCGAATCCTACGCCTCAGGACTTCCCAACGAATACAGTCCGCCCCCTATCGACTCTGGAGGCAGGGACCTGGACGAATGGAAGGAGCGTCTTGAAGAAAATGGCTTCAAGGTATCCGACGATCCACCAGACGAAGAATACCTCAGCGGCCCTCGCGAAGCCGCCGTTGCATACCGCCATGCTGGTGGCGGTGGGCACGTCGTTGCGATGGATGGTGGTTACAATGATGCGACGTATACATACTCTGATCATCAGGGTCGTGTCGATGAGGATGTCACGGAGGAAGTGAATAAAGCAAGGCGCGAGGACCGCATTGCAGGCTACATCACGAGGCCGGACTTTGACGATCGCGAGAGGGAACAGCAGCAGGAGGATGACTATGAGGATGACGAGGAAGAAGAGGAAGGTGATGAGGACTATGGTGATGATGGAGATTATGAGATGGACAATGGGTGGAACAAATACCGGTGATGCTGCGATGTACTCCAAATTGATACTCGTAGCATTCACCCGTCTACCTTGAAGTTGCCATCATATTGCCAAACCCTCATCGACTCATGATCCCCCCTCCACAACACCGTACCTGACGATCCCATCCCCAACCGCACACTTTCAGTGGAGCATCCCCTGAGATCCCCCTCCCCTACTCCTCCCACCGCATCCGCGTTCCGACTCTTCCGAGATCATCCACCACAGATCATCGCAACAACCCTTCACCGTCCGCCGGCGTGCCGAACGGCAGCACGACGGTCTCGGCAAAAGTAGTCAGCAAATGGCAATTACCCGACTCCCGCTTTCTGCAGCAGGGACGACGGCGGCGGAGCGACGGTTTGACCGCGCTCGGACCCTCTCGCGGCGCGCGAGACATGCGCGCAGAGACGGGGGAGAGAGGGAGAGGCTGGGATACGCGGGTTACGAAAACGAGACTACTAGGTTCTTGCGCGACATTTTCGCGTTCGCGTAGCACGATTGTACCTGGATTCTGTCTTTAGTGAAACAACGGGGCATGCTGTGCTTCTTTTCTTTTCTGCGGTGTGGATGCAGGACAGCAAACGAGCGGAGAAAGGGACGGGCAGCGGATGCGGGTGGGTTTTTGTTTGTTTGGGCAGCATGTTTGTTGGGGGAGTGACAGTGACAGCGAGTCAAGGCATGAACATGGTAATGTTAGTGTTGAAAGGGATGTACATGGCATTTGTTGGAGAAGGGTGTCAGAGTCAGGGCAAAAGGAGGAGGCAAATTGCGATGGTCGCGATGTTGGATCTCGACTCTTCTTTTGTGATTTAGCCTACAAATCGAGTGAAGTCTGTGTGATCGAATTTTTTATTGAATTGAGTTTTTCCTTTGGCTGTGACTCGGTAAAGAGATTGTTTGATTAGTTGGTGAAGTTAGTCTAGTTTAGCGACGGCGAATGTCGTGACAGGAAAGCGCGGTGGAGGTTGTGTTCGTCCGAGCCTCCGCCTACAATGTCCGAGAGAGCGAGACCGAGATGGCCATCGGCGATTGGGCAGTGTGGATCGGACAGGAAAAAAGAAATTGCGCATCGGGCGTGAGAAAAGCACAGGGTTGCGGGTGGAACCATGGCAGTGGAAAAACGGGCGAGGATGTGTCTACGCCAAGCAGGCGAGGACTGCACGGGTTGCGGATCTTGCGAGGTGCCGAGGGCGCCTATTCAGACGTCGCGACGGACGGTAAGGAAAGGCGCGGGTACAGTCAGCGGTGGCTTTGTTGGTGCGGTGAGAGTTGTGTCGGGGCGTGATTGGTAAGTAGCGTGCAAGAGGTGAGAAAGTTTGGGCAATGCAGTGAGTGGAGCGCAGGGCATGTTTCGTGTGTCTTTGAGGCTGGGGTGGGTGGCCGCACGCCTTGTGAGACAGCGCCGACAGCGAACGAGGCTGACCAGCACATGCCCGTATCTCGTACAGGCGACGGACCGGGATGCGGAAGTCGATGGAAGACGATTTGGCATGCGTTGGTTGCCATGGCTTGACGGCACGATGCGGTCACCTGTATGTTGATGTCATGACAGGCTAACCAAGGGTCTAACGCACCGCTGCATCACTCTGGCATGGCGCATCACTCTGGCGCGAGGCCAGCAGCAGTTTTGCTAGACGGGACCCGTACCAAGATGACAAAGCCATGCGTGAGTGCGACGGACAACGTGATAAGGAAGTCGACGGGTGTGCTGCAAGGGTCACATGCATGCAGATGCAGAGGCCCTGGGAACGTTATCAGTGCCACGGTTGGGGTCGCATGCTACCATGAGAGCCCACGGTGAAAGAGAAAGCGTCAACCACGGGCACTCGCATTCTTTGCCAACGCGGTCGAAACAATGATGCGAATCCTGGCGCCCGTCACAGCGTCCTGGTGTAAACGAAATTGAGCGCCCTCGCAGACTAGCCGGGTCCGTCGTAGCCGCTCACGTCGCGGACCTAATTTGACCCCCCGGCAGCGCGCTGTGCAAGCCTCAGCCATCCGGAGCTTCCACTAAGTCACGGCTGCCTCTCATAATCCCTAGTCCGCCCTCTTCCGCCTTCTTTCCCTCTTGTCCGCTCGCCCACCTCCTGCACGACGTCAAACTTCGACGTGCTTTCACCCGCCTCTGGTCGCGTGTCTGCTGTTGCACCTACCTGGAACTGCGCCACACAGACAACCCCCGAGCGACCGAGCCCTGAACCGCCATTCCTCCAGCACCATCCTCAGCATGACGAACAAGAGCTACCTCGCATTCCTCGACAACAGCACCGCCGCCGACATGCTGTCGCGCACAAAGGTCCCCGGGCTCTCCGCCCTGCCCAGTCTTATCCCCCACCGCGTGCGCAGGAAGTGGAGGGCCACCAAGTCGCGCATACGCAGTCGCCAGGCGCCCACGTCATCCATCGCCGGCCTCGAGACGTCCTTCTCGCCCTCGGATACCCTGCGCTCCCTGCGCACCCATTCTTGGAGCATATACGACGCCCAGTATCTCTTCCTCGCCATCCTCGCCATCTTCTCCCTCTCCGTGAGCGAGGCGCCGGGGCCCTTTGCCAAGACATTCATAGCCACGCTGCTCATGACGGGCCTGTGTATGCCCATCACACGACAGTTTCTCCTCCCATTGCTCCCTACTCTTACATGGCTATTCCTCTTTTCTAGCTGCAAGTACGTAATCCGCTTCCTCGAACTTGTGGCAAGATCCATACTAACATGCCCCAGATACATCTCCGCAGACTACCGCCCTGCCATCTGGGTCCGCGTCCTCCCCGCCCTCGAAAACATCCTCTACGGCGCCAACCTCAGCAACATCCTCTCCGCACACAAGCACACAGTCCTGGACATTCTCGCCTGGTTGCCATACGGTGTCGTACACTATGTATCGCCTGTCATTGTCAGCGCATGCATGTTCATCTGGGCGCCTCCTGGCACCCTCCCAATCTGGGCGCGCGCTTTTGGCTACATGAACATCACAGCTGTTCTGATCCAGATGGTCTTCCCCTGCTCGCCCCCCTGGTACGAGAACACATACGGATTGGCCCCCGCCAACTACAGCATCCCTGGTGACGCCGCGGGACTCAAGGCAATCGACAAGCTGACTGGCATTGATCTCTACACTTCGGGCTTCCACGCTTCGCCCTTGGTCTTTGGCGCGTTCCCCTCGCTGCACTCCGGATGGGCTACTCTCGAGACGCTGTTTATGGGACACGTCTTCCCCAAGCTCTTCCCCGTGTACGTTTTCTACACCATGTGGCTTTGGTGGTCGACCATGTACTTCTCCCACCACTACGCCATTGACCTGGTAGCTGGCAGTCTGCGTAAGTCTTGACATCCAACCTCAACCCTTTTTAGTGCTAACTTCCTCAGTTGCCGGTGTCTGCTACTTCTTCGGCCGCGCCAAGTTCCTCCCCCGCCCCCAATCCGACAAGGAGTTCCGCTGGGACTACGACTACGTCGAGATTGGCGACCCCATGGACGGTGCTGGCTACAGTATGCTCGACATCTACGAGGAATTTCCATCCCACGCCCACTCCGACTCGGACGACTGGGCTAGCGGCTCCTCTTCATCCTACTCCACCGGTGGCAGGAGTCCCATCGGCGCACGATCACCAACCGACGACTCTCAAAGCCTCTGGGAAGGCGAGACCATCGGATCCGACACGGAGCCCACCACCCTCCGCAAAGACTAAGACCTAGGACCCATCTACATCTCTCTCGCCACAGACTTATACTCATCCCTACGTTTCGCACTATCACCTTACCTCCCCGGGTGACGGCCTCTAACGACCTATGCATTGGAGCGGAGTTTTTTCTTGTTTGCGAAGCATTTCAGCGATCCATTATCTACACCATGGATTTGACGGCATAGAATCACTGGCCTCGGCTGCAGCAGCAGAGACGCTGCAGCCATGCATGCATCGGGGAACCACAACCATTCTTCTCGTGGGCATCCCTTGTAGCGCTGTAATTGCGCGGTTTATTGTACCCCTTTTTTGATACCCAAGTCGGTCGCTTACCTTTTGGACTTTTTACGACACAATTGTGTCTGTGTTGTTGTTGTATACATTCGCTTCAGCGCCCGGCCGCCACACTTTCCGCATTCTACTTTTTGAGCGGCTGGATGTCTGCATATAGGGGGTTTTGATGATGTTGTGGGCATGAAATGGCAAAGGCATGGCAGATGCCATGTCTATGCTGATTTGGAAATAGGTGGTAATGAAGGGCTCGGTCGGAGCCTACCACCGCGGAAAGAAAGGGACTATTATTATCTAGTGTAATGCTTAATGGAATGGAAACGGTTAATGAACCAATCAATCATGGATGTTGACCAGAATGGTGCCTGCAATCAACTCATACTCGTCGAACCAAGGTTCTATCATTTCGCTACCTAATTGTCAACCATGATTCAACTTTGCAAATGCCATGCGGACTATCCGCCCGTTCCTTTCGCGGTGTCGCATTCCACTTCTCCCTGAAGCTTCCAGCATCAACTCGACCTCAAGATCCATTTCCAGTCTACTATCACCCCATCATCCATGGACTACCTCGAACTAGACGACGCCGCTACACAGGCTTTCGAAGAGCTAGGCGGCGACTTCGACCTACCACACATCCCATCGAAACCTTTTGGATCTACGAATTCTTCTACCACCTCACCGCCGAAACGTCCCCGACGCCGAGTAGAAGCCTCTTATCTCCTCCGCCTCGAACACCCCTTCTCCACACCACGGGATGTAGCCAACGCTCTCAATCTCCTTCGTGTGCCACGACTCGAAAGTGGCGTTGGAGAAGACGGCGAAGCAAGCTTCTGTCGGCTGACCCAGTCAGGAATGAAGGCTCTCGATACTTGGATCGAGAAGCACTGTCCGGGTCAGAAGTTCACCAAAATCCGTGTTGGACTTGCGCATAAAGATTCTGGAGGGTTACCGTTGCTGGGGAGGGATGGGACACTTCCTCACCACAGGCTCAATCTCCCAGCTCAGCCCACCGAACAACCTTTACAC